TGGGAGTGTCGGAGACAGTGCGATTGGCACAGGACAGAGCAGAGTTTAGGGCTGTTGTACATAGGGTCGCTATGAGTCGCAAGCGACTCGACAGCACATAACAACAACATACGTGGAACAGATTATGTCAGAGGCTGGAGTTTATGAAAAAGAATGTGGAATCAGGATTAAAGGAAGACTCATCAACAACCTGTGTTATGCAGATGACACACCTTGCTTGCTGAAACTGAGGAGGACTTGAATTGTTTGCTACAGAACGTCAAAGACAGCAGCCTTCAATATGCATTGTATTTCAACATTAAGAAAACAAAGATCCTTACCACTGAAGACAATAGGCAGTATCTTGATAGGTGAAGAAAGGACTGAAGTTGTTAATGATTTCACCTTGGCTGGATCCATAATCAACACTCTTGGCACCATTAGTCAGGAAATCAAAGAAGACCTGCATTAGGAAAATCTATGGGCAAGGATTTCTCCAGAATGCTAAAGAGCAACGATGTCAGTCTAGAGATTAAGGTGCACCTGACTGAAGCCATGGTCTTCTCAGTAACTTGCTGTGCATGTAAAAGCTGAACACTGACTAAGGATGACAGATGAAAAATTGAGTTGTGGTGTGGGAGAAGAGTACTGAAAATACCAAGATTATTGAACATACCAAAAGTACTGAACTGCCAAGAAAAGAAACAAGTGAAAGGGTGAAATCAGTTTGCTCACTGGAATTAAGGATTTTGAAGCTCAACCTCACATACTTTGAACGTGCTGCTGGAAGGGACCAGTCATTGGAGAAGACATCACGCTTAGAAGGGGAGAGGGCTAGCACAGAAGAGGAAGACCCTGGAAGAGATGGATTGACTCAGTGAGTGTGGTAAGACAGGTATGTGGGAAAGTTAGGCTGATTCAGGATAGGGCAAAGTTCAGGGCTACCGAATACATGGTCACCATGAGTCCTAGCTGACTTGACAGCACATAACAACAGCAGAAACAACTGTGCAGAGAGAGGCACATACAAATTTAGAGTACTGCTTTGACTTATAAAATACAGGAAATACTGTAACTGGTTAAATAAAAAAGATTCTATCCATATCTCATTCAGGAAGAGTGTAAACGGTCATTACAAAGACAGAAGAGGAAGAAAAGACCAAAATGGATGTCAGAAGAAACTCTGAAGATTGCACTGGAGCGTAG